TACTGCAATGCGACTTTAAGACTGTCTTATCCAACGATTAGCGCGCGTATTTATATTATTAAAGCAGCTGAATAAGCATATGTGTCATATTACTATCTTCTTATTACATACTCATCACAAGTGGCCATATAACTCCTCCCTCCTAAAGTTTGAGAAAATCGGGGTTGATTTTCGAATAGTTTCTAGTTCTATGCCCACCTTTATATTTTATTTTATTTTTAGGTAATAATAAAATACAATGATTATTATTAGTATAATTATAATAGTAGGTATTAAAGTAATTGAAACACTAGAGTTTACAAAAGTTAAGAGTTTTAGGAGGGTGATTTGCTAGGTTTCGAGCACTTTCCATATCTTCTTTTATATTTTCAACATTAATTTCTCTTAACTATAGTGGTTCGATATTATGAACCAATTCTTCATTAATAACTATGGACGGAAGTTTTAGTCTTAAATTAATTACGTCTCCTTTTTGAGACATTTTTTTTTATTTTTAATTTTAACATTACACTCTGCGGGCAGAATTAAAGATGCTTTATTTATTATTTCAACACTTTTGATTTGGGCAATAAAAATATATATTTTCTGGGGAATTTGGGATAACCACAATATATTTTATTGGGTAGCTGAGGCTGAGGAATCATTGGACAATGATTAGATAAATTAATTGTTTGTGGAATACAGGGTTCGTTTTTATTAAGCAGGTTATTGGAGGGATTTTGTAGCAGTTTTCCTTTAGGTTAAAGAAATCGTCTGTCTATTTCAAAAGATAGGGATTGTTTATAACGGATATTTTATTATTAATTGGTATGGGGTATATACGATTAGCGGCAGCAGGAGAATGGCAATCTTCATTCTTACCTAAAATTATAAATGTCTTTTAACATCTTTAGGTGTCTTTGATTTTTAAATTGAATTAGTTTATATTTAGGTTGTAATTTTTGTGTAAACTTCCGAGGTGTATTTATTAATTGATTAGTACCTTGGAGTATTTCGGGGTCATTTTTGCGTTTTTCATTTAGTTTTGCTAAAACATTTGCCTTTTTTGCATTAAGTTTTAAATTTATTTTTTCATTAAGTTCCGTAAAGATTTGCGAAAGTTCGTACACATAATCTGTTTGCAATTGATTTAGGTTTTTCTCAAAATTTCATTGATGCTTCAGATTTCCTTTTAGAATTTGGAAAGGAGTATACTCATGGGAAGAATGTTTACTAATATTGCGATATCCATTAGCTCTTGGATCGTTTTGGTACGATGCTCATTTTTTAGAGTGACTAGACTTTCTGTAAGGGACGAATGGAAGCTTTCGACTGGTGAGTTTGAATTTGGATTATACGGGGTAGTGAAATGTAACTCGATTCGATACGTTTTACATAAGTCTTGTACTAGGTTACTTTTAAAGCTTGTGCGTTATCCATAGTAATTTTACTTGGAGAAGAATTTAGTTAAGCTTTGACATATTTCGAGGGAAGTTTCATTAACTGGGTATGCTGTTGCAAATTTAAAGAAGTTATCTATTATTGTAAGATATTTTTGTCCTGATATCGAGTATATATCCATATAAATATGTTCTAAGCGTTTAGTTCCGATTGGTGTAGGTTTGTACCCGATTTTATAAGGATGTCTATCATACTTCGTTTTTTGGCATATTTCGCATGTATTAACGAAATTTATTACGTCTCTTTCCAGGCTTGGCCAATAATATTTTTGCTTAATATTTTTTGTTTTCTGTCATTCCTCGATGTGATGTCTTTGTAGTGCGATATCTTTCTATTATTTCTTTCTGTTCCTTTTGATCTTTAACATCTTCGAGTAACGTGTTAGAAATGACGAGTTTAAATGCATTGTTTTTAAACCTTTCCTAGAAACTTCTTATAATTACTGGTTCTAGTTCCTTATTAGGGAAATGTAAACAGTAAGTGTCTGTTCTTGCATGAGGTTATGTTAAATCAGTCCATCTAAATAGAATTTCATTTTTAAAGGTATTAAGGGCTTTATTGACATATGGAGCTCCTATAATTGGATTTTCCCTAGATGAATGAACCGTGTCCATTTCAGAGTTATCTACCTTTTCGTGCATATGGAGCTCCTATAATTGGATTTTCCCTAGATGAATGAACCGTGTCCATTTCAGAGTTATCTACCTTTTCGTGAGCTTCTTTACTTGTAGATGGGTTATTTTGTTCTTCTAGTTTTTCGAGCTGTAGTGTCTTTTTAACTGTATTTGGAGGTCTTATTTGAATATCCGAAATTATCTTAATTTTGGGTTTCTTTTTCGAACAATGACATACGAGTATTTCAATATCTTGACTTTGGAATAGGTGATTAATCATTGATTTTGCCTTTAGCCAATCCAATTGGTCTAGTCCACATCCTAGTTTAGGGATTGCAATTCGTGTAACTTGATTCTCTCTTGCATGGTTTTTCATATTAATTAAGATTTTCCAAAGCATATAGGAGGTTGGTTTTTGGTTAGATTTTTCTTTAGTAACTAGATAATAAATAAAACGATTATTTTTATTGTCAAATAATATTGCTATTTCTCCTGGTTTAGAGTTTTTATCGATAAGATATTGTAGGTTGTTAAATTTTTGTTTAAAATCTACAGCAATGCCTTGTTCTATTTTATAATTTTGTTGATCAAAAATATTTGCTTGAATTTCCTTAATTATCTCCGAGTGTTCGATTGGTTTCCAATTTTGATAAAATTTTTCAAACTCGTTCAGACCTTTTTGCGCTTTTTCAAACAGGTTTTCCTGTGATTCGAAGATATGTTTAATCTTTTCGTGCCATAAATATTGGTCATCTTTTTTCTCGTCTTCTTCACATACAGCTGACATATGTGTTAGTGGGTGTTTTACTAGGTCTACGGGGTGTATTTCTTTTGATGGCGTGAGAGGGCGTCAGCGTTGACATTCTGTTTGCCTTTTTTATATTGAATAGTGTATTCATATTCCTGAAGTTTTAGTTTCCATCTGAATAAATTAAATATTTCAAAGTTGTTAAGTTCAAATGGTTCTAGAAGTAAGTTATTATTAACGCTACCTTCGAATGATTAAATATATCGACAGTATAGGAATTATTTGTAATCGTAACAAGGGTTGCTTGTATTTCAATTTCATCTTCACGACAGTAGGGCATTATCCATGTCGTATTATTACGTTATTATTATTGGGTAGATTAGTCCTAAGTGTTGCTTTTTGTATAGTTTTTGGGGTTGGGGAATTTCTACTACGTAGTCGTCGAAATTTGTTCTATATGGAAAGGGAATTTCTATAGAACGGCTTTTAACTTCGTATTCTTTAAATCAATATTTAGATTTAGTTTACAAAGACCTTTAATTCCTAAAATACCGTCAAAATATTCATGAAATGGGTAAAGAATAAATTCAATTGGTTCGGTGATACCAAAGCAAGTAAATAATGGGATAGTTAAATTGGTTAAGGCTTTCGCGGCCCGTTGATAAGCTATTATCTTGATTCGGGTTTAAAGGCCGTCGTCGATTGGAATTACTTCCTAACGTTTCTCCGATGTTGGACGTAGACAGTCTACGTCCAACATCGGAGATGGAAGGACCTCTGAAGAAGCTCGTCACTCGTGCTAGCGAAACGTTAGGAAGTAATTCCAATCGACGACGGCTTTTAAACCCGAATCAAGATAATAGCTTGATGGGATAGTTGCTATATGTGTAGCTTTGTTTGAACCTGCACATGTTTGAAGGGTATTTACGTAAGGTTTAATTAATTCGGAAAAATAAGTTTCTGCTAAAGAGGGTCTAAGAAGAGATGCATTGGAACCTGTATCGATAAGTAAACAGATTTGATAGTTAGGGATTTCGATGTAGGGTAACTGTTTTATTTGAACACTATTTAGGGTTAAACAGGGTTGCTTGGTCCGAGTCTACTGACTGAAAATTTTCTAATTGATCAACAATGCTATTTTCTTCTTCGAACTGTTCAACATTTTCGTAGTTTGGGTTGTAATGACAGTAATAATCGTATTCGTTAAGGTCGGTTAAATTGGCTTGCGTTTCGTTAGTTTCGGAGTTAATGTCGCTGTTTTTGGAAATTATTGTATTGTGGTCTTATTTGAGAAAATGGCTTTTTAGGTTGTATACTTACACCTGAGGGGCTATTGATTTTTTCAGTTCTGGGGCTTGTTTTGATTAGAGGTGTGGGGTTGCTGAAAGGGTTGCCTGAAAAATTGGTTTTGTCGCTTAAAGAATTGATTCTGAGGTTTGAAAAATTGATTTTGTGGCTTGAAGAATTTGATTTTGATGTGAAATTCGATTGTCTATAGAGTTGAATTGGTGGGTTGTGAAATACTCTTTGGGCGTTTGACAAAATATAATTGATTGGTTTCTATATATTGTGCCTCATTAGGTTATTATTTTGTAAATAATTATTTTTAAACTGACTTTGACTTGTAAGAATTTCGTAATTTGTAATAATGTCAATAGCATTATCTAGATTTTGAGGATTTTGATCTATAAGTAACGTTCTCAACTCTAATCTTATCTCGACCCAAGTTGTAAGGTCTGGTCGAGTTAATAAAAAATCTTTACTGTCCCTAGTATTTTTGATTTAATTGCCAAAATAACGTATTCTTGTTGCGATACATCGTTATTAAAATACCTTGCGCGAAAAGTGTCGATTTATTTAATAAAATAATCCAAACGAGAAGGGGTACCATCAAAGGATTTTAGCAAACTAACGGTTGATCTCAAAGCGTCGGCCATTGCACTAATAGTTTCGGTTTCTAGACTAGTATTTACAAAAGTACAATTATTTTCGGCTATACAATATAATAAAGAAATATTAGAGTAAAGTTCGTCTATATCTCGCGGTTGATTATGTAGAATTATTTCTTCGAGGATAAGTAATATCCGATATTCTATTTCTAAATTTTTTCATCAAATTTTCATCAACAAATTTAAAATTTTCGCTTCTTAACTAACAGGAGTCACAACTATAAGGAACACAATTCAGTAAAAACTTACAATAGGTTCATAGTTTCGTTCCTGTATCAACCAACACGTTCGTCCGAGAGATTCACTTCCCAAGTGAGGTATTGGGTGTAGTGGACGCTGGGTTACAACAATTCGTCCTGCTGGCTCTCGAACGGCGTACCGATAGTCTATGGTACCAGGAGTCCCAAGTGCTCTGCCATGTAGATCTGTAATTCTTTCTTTAACCGTTGAAACGGAAGCGTGTTGTACCAGTAATCCAGCGCACAAATCACTATCGATTCGCAACAGCGATGCGGTACACTACTTCCAACGGATTTCCAAAAATACACTGAAAAGGATCCTACTGCGAAAATCGCATTTTTAAAAAACGATTTTTTATGTAAAACACAAGTAACACAATAATTACTACTGCAAAGCGACTTTAAGACTGTCTTATCCTACGATTAGAGCGCGTATTTATATTATTAAAGCAGCTGGATAAGCATATGTCTCATATTACTATCTTCTTATTACATACTCATCACAAGTGGCCATATAACTGAACCTTAAAATTTCTCTAATAAATTTAAATTTTGTCAACATGTAACCTAATTTGAATTACGCAAATACAGAAGTATGTAAGCAAAACCTACAGTCAACTGTAAATATAACCATATTTTATAATTCAGCTGTGAAAAAAATCTTCCAATGAGATGGCCAAAAATATATTCTAATCTGATAAAAATAAAATATGTTTTTTTTAATTTAATTTATTACCTATCGAACAGTGTTAGGAAAGTATTCAGATTTGGCGGATAATTAATTGCATTTATTCAATTTGGTCTGGTTCTGCTGTAATGCCTGTTTAGTGGATCTTATGAAAATTTTAAATATTTTATGACTGCATTAATGACTTTCCCTGGTACTGCTATTGGTGCACATTCTAGTATGAAGAGTTAAAAGATGATTAAAACCAACGTGTGCAATAAAGAAACAAAAGTGCAAAACAAAGCATTATCATACCATGGCCACATACTGAGAGGTGCTCGCTACTCCACCCCGACCCTTCTCCTTCATGAAGAAAACAACATTCATGGCTCAGAAACGTCCGACATTAGTGTGCAGTGACGAATGCTGGATCAATATTTCGTCAGGCGGAGAGCATTCCACTGAGGAAGTGAGACGGTGACCCCGACATACTCCACATACAAAAAGAAGAAAAAGAAGAAAGATTTTTTTAAATTTCCTGAAACTTGAAATCTAATTTAACCTGCGAATTTATCTGCCAACAACCACAGCAGATTCTTCTGACGCCATGCAAAATAACTTAATCAAGAATCTTGGTTGTTAATTATTCACCGAAAATTCCACAAATTAATGTATTACTATTTATAAATTTTCTTGGAAATTTTTCAATTAAGCGCTGAAGAAGCCAACAATATGATGGACGAAACGTCAGCAACTTCGATTCATCAACAACCAACGCTAAAGGAATCGAGAGCCAAAAATCTTTTCATTCACATGGAAATAAAATATGTCAAAAATCATATAAATTAAAACTAATTACTTACAAATTTTAATGACTATAAAATATAATAAATCTATCAATGAGGGAGAATGTAAGTCTTCACGTTAAAGAATTTTTTGGGCATAACATGACTCATCTATGTTCATAGGGGTTGACAGTTGGATAAAATCTAAGAATAAAAATAAAAAAGAACAACTACTTAACAGAAGTAATATTTCAAGGAACTGTGAACATTTGTTTCAATTTAAAAATCGTCTGAAAAGTTTTTGATAGATGACTGACTCCCTAGTGATATGTAAAATTTATGAAAATTTTTGGTACTTATTTATGGTCTACGTCATCTAGTAGCTATGTTAGTAAATATTTTTATGGATAGGTTTTTTTAAATATTATTTTCATTATCCAGGCTCTAACAACAATTAACTAATGGAAACTGGAATCCTGCATCTGACTGGAATCCTGCAAATCCTGCATCCGACTGGAATCCTGCAGACGTTTCGCCAAAATCTCACTTGGCATCTTCAATGCTCGCGCATATATATATATATATATATATATATATATATATATATATATATATATATATATATATATATATATATATATATATATATATATATATATATATATATATATATATTTATCTTTTCATTATAAATCATATATAAAAATCTTTTCATTCACATGGAAATAGAATATGTGTAGAGTTCAGTGCTCTCACTTTTACTGGTATAAATATATATCAATGATATTGATATTGGCAAACAAAAATCAAAAACAACTGTGGGTGTAATACCACAGAAACGGATACAAAAAAAAAAACTTTGGATACAGCAATGGGAAGGGGCTTATCAGGCTTGGGTGAATGGTTTGTGGCCGACTCCACCTTAACACGTCAATGACAGAAAAAATGGTTGTCTAAAAAGAAACATTTAAAATTATTTAATTAGTAGTTTATTTATAACTTTAATTCCAACTGTGCTTTAGTTATAATAGATGCAGAAACGAATGAACTTGTGTGTCAGTGATTAATTACTTAAAATAATAATACTTCTTCCAATTATTGACAAACCTTAAAAGATTCCTTATTTAATTATTTGCCAGATTCTATCATAACTTTTGCTTGCATTGTGGCGGTGTTGCCAATATTTAGTTTTTGTAGAAAGGATATATTTAACCAATGATTAGTATGTCACTGTTAGGTAAATAGCTTATGTATTTTCTTTCAGACCTAAACAAAAGTATGAATTTCCAGTTAAAATGAACTTTTATTCGATGTACTTTTACTGTGTCGGTGCGTAGTGTAAGAAGTAATGCTCGTGAAATCGGAGTTTTTATTGGCATTCGGTAAATCGTAAATCACGCAATAAAATGGAGAAACAATATCTTAAAGCTTTTACACTTAAGTAGAAATATGACATTATTAAAAAAAATCAAAGTGGGAAAGTGGCGATTTAAAGCTTATAAAAGGTTTTATTAGCCTTAAATGTGAAAAATCAGGAAAATCTAAACGCCGAGACGTGGATAAAGGACTTCTTAAGTTGTTTACTCCCAAAAAAGGAAGGAAACATTCTTATACGGGCTAGTGTTTTACAAGAAAAAGCAAGTGAATTGTGAACCAAAATTGGAAAAGCATAGTTCAACTATTCTAGGAGTTGGATAGAACGTGTATCAGAAATTTACGACAAACATTTTTAATGCGGATGAAACAGGCCTATTTTATAAAATGATACCAATATAACACTGAAACTTGTTCTGAACACTGAACCTTGTGCTGGAGCTAAAGAAAAGATCACAGTTCTAGTGGCGGCAAACATGCCTGGATCAGAAAAAAGGAAATTGTTGGTGTGGGCAAACAGTTAAGCTTGCTTACAGATGAGTTACATGAATAGGATGAAGAAATGAAAGCAAAGAACAATTTACTGCTTCTTAAGAATTACCTCTATGTGAAATTAGAACAAATGCATTTTGTGTTTAAACCACCTAAAACAAATTCGAAACTTCAGTCAATGGACCAATGTGTAATAGTTTAGATTATAGACCTCTTGGACGCCGTAAATTACATTCATATGGTTTGGCAAAAGGTTACTAGTGAAACCATTGCCAATTGCTTGAAGCATGACTCAGACAAAGATCTTCCTCTCAACCAGTGGTCGAAAAAACAACAAATACGCAGTGATATCGTACCAAGAGAAACACTGACTGATGATCAAATTGTAGAGTCTGTAACTTGAAATGTGATACTGAATGACAATGTAGAAGAATAATTGAAAATTCGGGTAACAAGTTCCAGAAACAAAACTTTCCTCAGAGAATTCAGAATATGAAGAAAGCTGGATAGACAGTGATGACAATTCGGAAGATGTAGATATTATCTCTGAAATCAAATAGTGAAATATTCTTTGAGATAACAAAAACATTTCTGTTGGTGATTATGTCTTGAGCACATTATATTATGGAAAAAAGAATGCTACCATTTGAAGTTGAACTAATGTATCATGCATTCAAAAAACTGCATTGTTGAAGTACTGCCTACTCCAGAAATTTTGGAAAATATAGAAAGACAGTTTGTTTGAGTTAGTTACTTTATTCTGTTAATATATATATTTTAATTTTCATGTGTCAATAAATGGAATGTCATTTAATGGTTTTTATTAGAAATGATGTGCGAATAAATGGTTTTAAGATACTTCTTTTAGTGTTGTATCTTTTTGCTGATGTAGATTGGATGGCTTAATTACTAAAAAATATAAAAGAACACTTAGGTAATTATACAATAGAATGACTTTCACTATTATATTACCCATTTTAATGAAGATATAAACCCTGAAATTTTCAGATTTGAGAACTGTAGGTCTAGCATTAACTATTTTACTCTAAAATTCTTCAATAATCTTCCAAATAATATTAAAGAAATAGATTTAGAGACTTTCAAATTAGAAATAAAAATTTCTTAATTAACAAAAGTAAAAGTAAGATAAATTATAATGATTCTTAAACCATTACACCATGATCTACTTGTGTATTGTATTGCATATTTTATGTATTTTTGTGGATTTAAATGTGATTAATGGATAATAGGGTAGCTGTAAGTTAATTGAAAATTAATTAAATACTTGTTGAAAAATACAAAAGTACAATAAATTATCTTTCATTTCTAAATACCATAGTCAACTATAAAACATTTATTTAAATAATGAAACTCAAAATTCCGCATATTCTGGGAAAACACGAAAAGTAAGTTAAACAATATGGCGTTTAATTTAAATTAATCAAGCGATAAAAATATTTTTGGCCCCCTTTTATGAGATAGCAAGTTTTTTATAATTGAAATATAAAATAGGGCGTATTGTTACACTACTATAAATTGCGCTAACATATATTAAATCCTTATGTAATTAAAAAATTTAAATTAGATTCTGTTTTGACAAAACCCAAATTATTTGAAAAACCTTACACTTATTTTAATGGCCGAATCCAAACGTGTGATAAAGTAAAAAATAAAACTTTTAAGACAACCTGAATGGTATGAACGCAACTGTAAAAAATAACCATAATATGCCAAAAGTAAAACTTATATAAAGTAATTAAAAATTTGTATTATGCTTAAATGTTATTGAAATTTTTCTTACAAAAAATTTGGTGTTGGTTAGTTCGTCTATTCATTAGTTTACAAAAGTTTGTCAAAAAATGTATTCATTTTTGCAGTTTTGTGATATTTTAAAATATCAAAAACAAAATTTTATTTTATCTTAATTTCTCTTGATTTTCTATTTCCAAAATGTCAGAATAACATACAAATTTCGAAGCTCTTTCTGGTGGTACAAAAATTTTCATTTGCCTGATAAAAACTAACAGAAACTTACTTAAAAATGACCCATCTGTTCAAATGACCTTGCAATTTCTTCATGGCGAACTTGGTAGGAACTACAAAGAACTTCTCCATGCTGACACACCAATACTCTTTCACCTCATCTTTCAAGCACTCTATCAATTTTCAAGTAGCCAAAGCTCAGCCAGATAAACAAGCGGTATGCTTTGCCAAAGTCCTGATCTTAAACACAAAGCCCTGGTTAGTTTTGGTTTTACTTTAAAATTCCCTATTAGCAGCATCAAATAGTGGTGCCATTATTTGACACCCACACCCACCCAACCCCACAACACCCAAAATATGTCATCCTTGAAACTAATTAGAAACTTCAGAAAAACAGCAACTGGAAGTTCTCTATTCATAGAGCTTAAACAACAGTTTCTTGCTGCTAAAATTACCAGAAAGTTTTATTTTTCCAGAAACTCATTTTTTCTTCAAAATTACCCGGTTTCCATAAGTGTGGTATAAATAACTAATAGATATCATCCTGTTTTCAATTACTTCAAATTTCCGTTGGAACAGTTGGCTGCTTTGACTTCATCCGCAAGATACAAGACCCAATTCTTTGATGCTAGCTAAAAAAACAGGCCATACATTAAGACTTTACCATATTGGTTTATTATTACCTGCCAGGTCCAGCTTAAATCTTCAAAGCAAAACCTGCATGGAGGTTTTTTTTTTGGTTAAATCGGAAAAATAGTAATCAGACAACATTGGTGTTGCTCATGTCGCCTTGAGTGTCCAAGACTACTAAATTCTAGCATTTCCTTGATGGATTTACTAGCAAAACCTCATATTTAAACAAAAATTCAATTCTCAAAACGGTCAGCACTTTACTACCTAAATAAATGTTCTATAAGCTTAGAATGATTGTGTATACAGAGAAAAATTGGTTGCTTTTTCTCTGGTAAATACCATGTGTTAAACGCCTTGGGCCATTTCTGGTGAAATGGTATGTTTAAGTAAGCTACAATTAAAGCATGGGCATTTTCTAGCGGATTAACCCACAACGCCTTAGCCAACTCTTAGCTTATTTCCTTTGATCGATTACCCCAGGATTGTTTGAATTTGGAATACGAGGTCTAAGTAAGTTTACAAATAAACGCCACTAATCGAAGTATTCTCTCTGCCTACCACAACACGGAGATCCGGTGCAATGATCGCCACCGTATTGCAATATTCCGGTTAGGCCATTGAGCCTCGGGCCACTTGCCTACTTACTGGCGCAAGGTCTCGTAATCAGTACGATGAATGTAAATAATCAGTAATTATCTTTTAACAAGTAGTTAAGCAGCTATGTCCTTATCCTTATCCATCAACGGAATTTTACTTATAAACCAGTTAATTGGCGGATTTTGGACAGTTATTGTTATTAATTATTATCATGAAAAGTAAGGTTTAGTTGTTGGGGTTGCGGATTTCTTAAAAAAAAAACATAAAAACATGATTGGGATTTGTTAAAGTGGACGAAATGAAATGAAATGAAAGGAAAGATGAAATGTATAATGATGACGTAGACAGCCTGGAGTAGTCCAGTATAGGTTTCCTAGGACACAATGGGAAAAGTCAGATTCTTTTGGAAGCTTCGGTTAACACAGCCAACCATCGAAGAAATATTGGACGAACTGGCAGAACACGAAGGCCAATCACATAGCCGCAGTGAACGCCGTAAAATAAATAAATAAATAAATATATATATATATATATATATATATATATATATATATATATATATATATATATATATATATATATATATATATATATATATATATTCTCACGTATTGATTCACGGATGGAAAAATGTGATGACACTATATTCCGGGATATCATCCGTTCGCTCATTGAACTCCGACTGGAATCCTGCAAATCCTGCATCCGACTGGAATCCTGCAGACGTTTCGCCAAAATCTCACTTGGCATCTTCAATGCTCGCGCTCGCGCTCCAGTGTTCGAAGTGTTTTCGGAGCGCGAGCATTGAAGATGCCAAGTGAGATTTTGGCGAAACGTCTGCAGGATTCCAGTCGGAGTTCAATGAGCGAACGGATGATATCCCGGAATATAGTGTCATCATATATACATATATATATATATATATATATATATATATATATATATATATATATATATATATATATATATATATATATACGTGATGCAGAGTGGTGTCCTCCCATGTAAAATCCTCGGTTAAAGTGGCATCCGGGACAAAGTGAACTCCGATATACGGATGCCAACTTGAATTTTTAAAATAATGTCGGCATTACACTTATTTGAGCACCACCTATTCAAAAACACTTAAAACTCGCGGACGTCAATTTTCACGTTAGCTGGATAAAATTATACGAGGTGGTTCAACGAGATTCCGCTTGTGTCTCTAGCATCGATTTCTGTGCCTGTATATTGGTTATATATTTAGCGGTGGCACTGACTTCCTCAATTTATGTGTATATAGTGATATTGGCAACGGTTACTTTGACTTCCATAATTTACCGTGTATATTGGAAATATGTCGTCGGATTATATTGGTTTCCCCATGCGATATAGTTTTGTTTTTAGTGGCTACATTGCTATCCCTTAAACCTAACCTTTCTGAATATTTTCATTACCTATAAAAATTTGTGTCGGCGTAACTTAACAATGAATCGTAGAAGTAAACGTATCTTGGATCTAGCTCGAGACAAGAGCCTAGCAGGTAGGAATTTTGACAATTATTGTATTAGCTTTATATTTTCTCAGGTATGTATAATAAGCAACACAATATCGTCTATTTTATTGTAGTATAGTATAGCGGGTACCATGAAATTGAATTTTTAAACAAGTTTTAGCTTCCAAAGGATTTGTTCGGAAAATTGATGAAATTTCTTTAAAATTCGATTGCCTAAATAAATTATTGAAGGTCAGCTTTTTTATTTACACTTTTTTTTTGACAATATGTCAAAATTATTATACAATTTGTTGTACACTTAGTTACAAAGTTTCGCCGTATCAAGCATTACGAGAATTAATTCGCAGGTTAAGATTCTTTCAAGATATTTAAAATAACTGAGATTCAACAACGAAATTACGGAAACACATCACAAACAATACAAAAGTCAAATCATTCATGTTAATATATTTTCAACATATTAAGCGATTCCGTTACTTTTTTTAATGTTAACCAGTTATTTGTGTCCATTTATTTTTGAAAATTGCATTGCTAAATTTCAGAGGCAAGATCTCCCCGAAAAATATGATGGAAAGTTTATATAATCAAAGGGCCGAAAATGCATGTTTTGTGAGATAAACGTAAACTTTTCAAAAACCGGTTGCAATTGCAATTTGCAGTATAACCGTGTCATCAAGTATTTTCCTAGTTTACTGAAGTTAGATGATACATCACATTCAATTTTTGGTTTAAGAAATAAAGGCTGAAAACAGTGCTCGTTTTTCTTATTTAAGTTAAGTAAGTTTTCAAATTTTGAGAAAATTGAAACGGAACTACGAATATAAACAATATTGAATTTTTTTCGGCATGTTCATGTCCTTGTCCAGATGTGGTAAACAAGATTTTAAACGGACAAAAACTTTCGTCTTTGAAGAAAAGGACATTTTTTATCAAAATTTTTGATTGAACAAAAAATATTATTTTGCATGTAGAGTGTCCAAACCGTTAACAATTTTTTACAAGAGTAAAGCAAACTTATTCTAAAGTTTTTAGCAAAGTGCTACTCAGATTATAAGTTCTAAATGAGATATTTTTAACCAAACAAGCAAAAAAATATTATCATCCAAACTTAATGAAAACAATTAGATCCAATTTTGAAACATTATTTTGCTAAAAACTTTTAAATAAGGTTACTTTACTCTTGTAAAAAAAATGAATTGTAAGAAAATGAATTAAATGAATGACATTTTCTCGAAAAAGTGCATTTTTGGTATCTGGCTTAAATCACAGACAATTTTTTTAAAGTTTTTGTTATAATGTATGGAACTATCCGCGAAAAATGAAAACTACGTAACCTGTTTACATTGTTAAATTATTGTTTTGTAGATATGACTCCTTCAAGCTCGGATAATAGCCAAATAATTTCCGATTCGGAATATAAATTACCAGAAGAATCCGAAGCAGAAAGTTCGTGGGAATGTGGATACAGAGAAAGTGATTTTTTTTTGGATAGACCTATTGAACTGCGTCAAGAATTGCCCGACAGTACATATACTACGATGCAAACAATACAACCAGGTTTACCTCCCGAAGAAAATAATAGCGTTGACCACAATTACTGTGTCAGTCTCAGACAAAATGACAATCTGGATTCCGAAGTTAAAACACCTGGAAAAACTCGACGTGTTAGGAGAAAACATCAATGCCTATATTGTAATCAAGATGTCGGAAATTTCTTAAGGCACATGGAGCGTAATCACTGGGACGAATTCCAAGTACAGGAAATTTTGTCGCTAGAGAAGAAATCTAAGAAACGGATTAAGTTGATTGACAAACTTCGTAAGGAAGGTGACTTTTCTACATCAAATATTGTACCTGTAATGGCAAACAAAAAAAAGCTAGTTGAAGACTATATTGTTTGCAAATTTTGTCAAGGCTATTATGCCAAGAATAGCCTTCGTCGCCACGCAAAAAAATGTTTCTTTAATCCCGATCCGAGTCAACGCTTTCAAGCACAGATTGAAGGTCAAACAGTAATGGTTGGGAATTTTGGACCGAATGATCCTTTAAAAATTAGCGGTCTTATAAACATGTTACGAGCAGATGAAACTTCGTTGGTTGCTAAGAAAGATCAACTTATTTGTGAAGTTGGTAGGCGCTATATAAAAAGTCACAAAGAAAAACATCTTTTGGTAGTAGCGAAACGGAACATGAGACGATTAGCTCGTTTACTCATCAGCGTCAGAACACTCAAAAATAATAAAACACTTGGTTTAGCTGAGATTCTCTTACCTAAAATGTTTAAAATACTGGTTTTAGCTACAAGAAACATAGCAGAGTATGACGTTGAAAATCGAAGTTTTAAGTCCCCTTCTTTGGCACTTCAGATGGGAACACTGATTAAACATGCAGTAAATACAGCGTGTTCTATTGAAATTCAAAAGGAAAATCCTCGTAAAAATTATATAGAAAATTTCAAGGAATTAATAAAACTTATTGATAATGACTGGGCAATTGAGGTTTCGAGCGAAGCAGGACAGAATTTGGCTTACAAAAAATTTAACAAACCAACATTAATACATGTGGCGGAAGATATCAAGGTTAATTTAAATTTATCACTTTTTGAAACTTGTGTAAATATTGGGAAAAAAGTAGCTTCTTGCATAATCGTCGAAAAAATTTGTTTTATAATACAAGTTTTATCACAAACCAAAACATAATTTTACCTCATAGATGCGCGTTTTAGCACTCAAGTTGACATCTCCAATAAAAGATTTAGTTTTAATCTTCTCCTGAAGATGGACAAAATTGTGTTTCGGTTATATTAAGTTTATTTGTTTTACAGTTTTTATATTTATGTAAAAATAAAATTAAAAAAAAAGTAGAGGTATCGCTGTGAAAACAATATCTCACCAAATACATACTATGAAATAATCTTTAATGACTTAAATGAAAGTTTAGATTATCAATAAAAAAAAGTGATTTTGTAATAGAGATAGTTAGATATATAATCAAAATTTCATCTTTGTTTTATGTAGTTTTCTTTGTTTCAGAAACTGGACCAATATCTTAAAAATCTTATTTCACAAGCCAAACTTGTCTTGGCAGAAAATGATCACAATGAAAAAGCTTATCGAGATTTACTGGAAGGGATATTTTGCAGTGTCATGATTTTTAACAAAAGGTGGGTAGGGGAACTCCAAAATCGCGATGGATTCTACACTCTCTTTGGTAAATCTGAGAAAAAATTTTGATCTTGAAAATAATCAGTATCTTTTTGGTTTACCGGGAACATTAAATCCAATTGGAGGATATACGGTCATGAGAAAACATTCATTACTGGCGCTTGGTGGAAACAAGGCAGCAGCATCATTGTTGACTTCCACTAGGTTAAGAAAGCAGTTGGCAACTATCACTCAGATTTTTAAAATGGACAAAAATGAATTGGAGCAGCTTGCTTCATTTATGGGTCATAATGAAAAAACCCATTCAGAATTTTATCGTTTGCCAGACGACGTTTACCAAACCGCTAAAGTGAGCAAGTTATTATTACTTTCACAAAACAGTGCGTTATTTGAAAAGAACAAAGGGAAACCTCTGAGTGAAATAGAATTAAATGATGAGATCATAGACGAAAGTGAAGAAAATTATTTAGAAGATATTTACGAAAATGTGTTAGAAAATCAAAACCCGAATCAATTGAAAAATCAGGATCAGGTTCCTGCCTTTGGTGTAGCAGACATTCCTAGAGAAAAAAAACGGAAACGTAAGCTGGTACCATGGACAAACGACCAAAAAAAAAATACGGAGTGTTTTTTCAAAAAACACATTAAAAATAAAATTCCTCCAAAAAAGCAGGAGGTAATGAGATTAATCGAGAGTCATCCTGGGATTTTTACAAACAAAACATGGCCAGTAATAAAAGTTTACATATTCAATAAATTTAATAAAAAATAACGGGTCTGAAGATGTGTTATTTACAAATTTAGAAATGTTTTTTAGTTTGTCAATGATAACGAATGTTACATGAAAACTATTTTTGTTTCCAAATTTTTGCTACGAAAAAGGTTTATTTTTTATTTTATTAATGCAATCTATTTTATTTTAATTCATTTGATCATTGCGTATAAAATATGGTAAATAAAGACTATATATTTAATTTTGCATTTCTCTTAACCCTTCTTTGCAATCCCTTGGACAGAACGAAATTCACATCCGAAATCCAGAATCGAGTGAGGCTCGAGTAATACAATTTCTATCCAAAGTGAGAACAAAAAATGTATATTAATTAAGCCCAATCTGCAACCCCTTGGATACAGCAAGATTCTCAATTGAAATCTTAAATAAGGAGCAGAGGAATACCTTATTTTAAAGTTTTTGAAAAACGCTTCAAGTTCTTGGTTTGCTAGAAAACAGAAACACTTTTTTTGAATGTTGAAATAAATAAAAAAAATTCATGAAATGAAAATTAAATCTTTCAAAAGTTTGCATTCATTTACATCAAACCCAGAAGAATATTATAAAATCTAGATTTTCTAGTATTCCTCAAAAACATTTTTCAAAAGCTTTAAATGAGCATCACTCGAATCCCTTTGCTACTTGAAATTTTAATGGTCAATGTTCAATGTCTAGTTAATATACTTTTATGCTTTCAATTCTCCTGATAGAAATCGTTTCCAGCGATTTTCGATTTTTTTTTCGTCCCTAAACAAAGCTGTTTTAGGTTTTTAAATTGTCATCTCTATATGCAATTATAACTCAAAAGCAAAATAAAATACTTTAAAATGGACATAAACTGTTCCGAAAAATATATAAACATTAGTAAACTAAAAATGAACCTTTGATTCTATTTTCGCCATACTGAATGAAAGATTTTGGTTTAGCGCTTATTTTAAAATTATTTAAAGGATTCAAGAAAGTAAGTATAACAAAATGTACGAAAATGTAGTAGACTTTTTTTTTCGGACGTCAATTTATTTTCAAAATACCGGCTCTTAAAATTAAAAATTATTTCAAGTGATTTTTACATTTAAACACCCTGTAAATCAGTGTATAATATCATATTTCATAGAAGATGTTAAGATTAAATCTTAATATTTTGTAGTCAGGACTCTAGACTTAAAATATTTTCAAAAGAGTTGAAGTGGGAAAAGCCTATTTGAGATTCTGCTTAGCACAATATAGAAAAAAAAGTTCATATGAACTCCTAATCCTAAAATGCTTTATTTCCGAAGTAGAGTGCCTTTAGTTTCTTGTTCTAAAATTGAGATTTTTATTAACTTAAAAACGATTTAGCTGATTTTAATGAAATTTTACGAGATGTATTCTGCAAGTAAATTGTTGTTTTTTTACAGAAGAAAAACTCACATATTTTATTTGAGGTTTTTATTAATTATTCAGATAAATCCGCTAAAAATACATATTCGTCTCTCAACTGTTTTGGTGCACAATATCCAAAAAAGTTTCGCAGTGTATTTAATTACGAAAACAGAAAAACATAAAATAAAGTTGTCTCTTACAATCACCTAAAGGGTTTTTGAGCTCTTAATAAAAGCCTCAATTTTTTTAATATATATTTTTTGGTTAGCTTTGGTTGGACATTTATCTTTTGAAATATTCATGTTTATCTTAAACAATAAAACCAGGAAATATACACGAGGTTTAAAATACCGATTTGGATAAAAATTGATAGAAACAAAAGTCAAAAGAATTCCAGTTTCCAGTAATACCTCATTTTGAAGGCAAATGTCGGCTTATTTTACGTCGTAAGTGCCAACCAACTGGTCCAGTTCATTTTGTAGGTTTCAAATGTAAATGAATTATTTAAACTAGAGCACAAAATAATGCCTAGAGTGGTAAATCATGGACGTCGATACGTAAGTGTGATGACTATAATGAAGCTTCTAGTAACGCTTTGATGATTTTTTGTGTTTTTTTTTTTTAAATATAGATTTGCGTTTTATATTCACTGATGAACCTCCTGTTTAAAAGAAAATATTCTGGAATAATTCTACATTCAGTTTATCGTTCGTGCGTGTATTTTCTAGTTTCATTGATTAAGATGAACATGAATGAATCAAAATATAAATACCATAAAACCGAAACCAAAAAAATAAGAAATTGCGGGATACAAATTGAAAAAAAACTTAGCAAAAGCAAATTGCACCTATTATTGAGCTGGACATTTGTTTTTTCACAAATAGCAACCAGTTTTTATAGATAATATCATCTTAATAACGAACATACCACATTAATTAAAAAAATATTGCTAATGAGGTTTAGGTTCATAAAGAGCTAAAATTATTTAAAATTTAAAAATGTAAAATTAATACCTACAAAATGTCAACAATTTTTGAAAGAAATGTTATCTCAAAAACTGATAAAGTTATCAAAAATTCACCGAATTTGTTTTTTACTTTTAGATTTAACCATATAGACAAAATATCTCATTAGTCGAGTCTTTCTAACAGAAGTTTAAAAGGTGGTTTAGCAATCAAGAATCAATCAAATCAACCAAATTATGTTAAATTATAAAACTTAAATATTTTCAATAAGATTTAACTCTTCTAAGGTGGCATACTCGACGCGTTTACAAATTCGAATTCGAATAACCATTCGGTTGATTTTAAAGTCATGTAGACAGAGAGTCGTGGTATATTTTTGATTTTAGTCTTGCATTTGGGGGTTTAGAAGGTTACTGGGTAAAAATTGATCGTTTTGATATAATTGACACACTTGAATCATGCAGTGACCAACTGACTAACTTCTTAAAATGAAAAGAAAAAACTTAAACATATCCTGGTTGCAGGTACTATTTGGATATCTAAATAAGACCATAGTAGTATAAAAGGAAATATAATTAAAAAAAAAAGAAAACTCCCAGTTTTACAAACATAACTTTTAAAATTATTAGATTCTATTCTCAAATCATAATAGTCAGAATACATAGACTTCAAGATATGATAACAAATAAAATAAGTACTTACGTCTTGTTTGTCGACATTTTGGAATGTATTTTATTCCTTCTTTGAAACTGCAATAATAAATTGACAATCGCATACTAGCTCTTATTTTAGCCATTTTAGCCATACAAGAAAAATATGGCTGTTAAAATAATTTGATTTAAATTGATATTATCCCAAATGTATCATTACAAATTCATTAAGGAATAAAACCAATTCTGAGGAATCGATAAACAAGTACTAAGTTGTATTTATGAAAAAAGAAATTCTGCTGAGGGGAATCAACATATATATTTATTCGCTCTTCTTTGAATAAGTGTTGTAAATGAACGTTTTAACTCGGACCCAATCCAAGTTGCCAAATACATCTTCATGGTTTTTCAAAAAATTGGTGACTTCACGTTTTCTTGGGGCTTTCTTGTTCTTTATATGTCCCTTAAAGTGCGCGAGAGCTAATTTTTTTTGCTGCTGAGACCACCTAACTCTACCGATTATATTACTTTCCTTTTCCGGACCAGCATTTTGAATATGGTAGACAGATATCGCTTGAGTGTTTATGACAGGTATCGCTTGGGTGTTTATATCAGATATCGCTTAGGTGTTTAGTACTTGGGTTTTTATGTCGGGAGTCGCTTCGGTTTGTATGTCATCCTGGAATTCACCATCAGATTCCGCCAATTCAGTGTTCGGGTTGCAACTTTTGCTGTTTGAAATGCATCCTGAGTAATTTCGTAAAATTGTTGATGAGTTTTGTCAGTGTGGCCCATGAATTTGGCGAACTGAGTGTAATCATTTTTGTCCAAATTCATTATTTGCATTAAGGTGGCAATTTGTTTTCGCAAGCGATTTGACGTCATTGCTTCTGGATTTTTTATTTTACTAGATTTGGCGAATTTTTTCATAACAATATCTCCCCTAACCCACTGACTGACAACTCCGGGGTATGCAAATAGGTATCGGTTTTGTTTGGGTACAATATCAGTTTTTTCTCTTATTTCAAGAAGTAGGTTTATAAAGGTTTGTACAATTTCGGGAAATAGAATAACTATCGCTCGACTGCCTTTTCCGCCTGCTACTACGTGTTTATAACTTGAAGTTAATGATTTCTCCGACTCAGTTAGTTGTTCTAAAAATTCTGTTTGATTACTTGCTGCAAAATTCGTTAAATAAGATTTAATTTCTACATATTGGACATCACCAATTCTTCGGCGATTAAATAGAATAGTAAATGCTAACGAAGCATCAACAAGATTCTTAAAAGCTTTTATATTAGTAGTATCTGTTTTTAATACAGCAGCATTTTTATTAGCAACCTCTATGATATGGTTTCTGTAAGTTATTATGTCATTGGTTAACGGTAATATAACAGGCTTATTCCACTTTTTTTCTGCTAGGTCCTTAAGGGCCAATGAAGACACTTCGCTGTTCCACTGAGTTTGGACCAAAAATCTGAATCTCTTTATTTCTTTTAATCTACCTTCCAAATTATCACATTTAAAGTCGGAAGAATTTTTTAATAAGACATGTGTAGTTAGTTCACATACTTGTTGAAGGGTAGTGCTTAAATGAATGGCCAAACTTGGAGCATTATATGTCTTCTTTTCATGGTCATATCCACTGATCCCTTTGGCAGAAAGAACAACGTCATCAAAGAGAGCAGGTGTTAGTATTTCGAAGAAAGATAATGTGGGTTTACGAATTCTACTTCGCATTTCAATTAGCAATCTGGCACATTCTCGCATTTTATTGGAACAAGGTATTGAAATCTGAGCGCGTTTGTGTTTTTTTAAGTAATATTCGCCAAAATGTCGAATTAGAGAATCCTTCCTTGCTAAAAATCCAATTTCGTCCGTCGCCATTTTTCGAAATACTTCATTTTTTACTCTTACTGTGGCAGCTGAATTTGCATATTCGCTTGCACAAGCCACCATTGTCTGGGAGGCCGCGATATGCCTTACGTATTGACCCGTTTCATTAATTGGTTTTATAATACATTTTTTGTAGTGTCTTCTTAAATATTTTTTGGCAATAATACGTTTACAATGAACACATGGTAACCTTTCGAAGGGCGAGTTGTCACTTTGAATATATTCCTCGAACTTTACCTGATATCTTAACAGAGCTAAAATTTTTCTTAGCATTTGTTTGCCTTCTTTTGTATTTTTTGGAAAATTCATAAGGTC